CACACACACACACACACACACACACACACACACACACACACACACACACACACACATATACATCTGGGGCGGAGTTATCTGTTCACAGGGGGTAAGATACACTTTAACCCGTTCACCTGTGAACTGCAAAATAAAAATAAAAAAACAGATGTTTTTGAGCATTGCTCAACTTTCCTTGTCTTTTGTTGTCCCAGCATTTTTGAAATGTGTTGCAGGTTTCAAAATCAAAATGAGTGAATATTTATAAAAAAAAATTTAAATAAAATATTTTTCCATTTGAACATTAAATATCTTGTCTTTGTAGTGTGTTCAATTGAGTATAGTCTGAAAAGGATTTGCAAATCACTGTATTGTGTTTTTATATATTTTAGACAACGTCCCAACTTGTTTGAAATTTGGGGCTGTCAATCAAATATATAATACAGGATGAAATGACAGAATAATGTGTAAAAAAAAACAAACGGACCACTTTTACAGTGGCCTGAGAGATCTTACCAAGATGCTGTTGCCATGGGAACGCACAGTAGCTCCAAACCACTGGTGGGATTTGAACTCAACTTGAGTGTTCACATCATTGATGTAAAAATATCGATCACCTGTAAAAACAGAGAAAAAACTAACATGATGCAGAAGTTCAAGAAGTGTCAAACATGTTCCTCTCTAACAGAGACACAGTTGATTTATTTTGTGTTCCTCTCATGAGTTTTTACCAGTGCTGGGCATGTTAACATCTTATTATCATTAACACAGTTATTTGTTTTCATATTCCTCCTTCAGATCTCTGGTTATGAACACACACACAGACACACACAAACCCAGTTGTCATGATGGGGAGGTGTGGGATATGGGGCAGAAACATTGTGGAAGTCACCAGACCCTTTAGGGCATCTTTTATTTTAAAACATGGAAATATATGAAATGTATAGAACTAATGGAGTGGGTAGAAATCACRTGACCACACAGTCACATGGTTTCTACCCACTCTACTGGGATCTACTGTAGAAGCTACAACACTAAGCAGAATGGGCAAAYGTCTGGATTTACCATTACTGTACATGTTGGTAACAGAGGATAAAAAGGACTGACAATGTAGAAATCATCAAACTATTAATAATAATAATATTAGTGAAATCATTATTAATATTTTAGAGTGTATATAAATGATCTATGTATATAAAACTGTCAGAAAATTGTGTGAGTTATGGACATATGAACAGAAGAGAAACAGGAAAACATCTCCTTTCATTTGTAAACAGATTAAATCACATTTACCTGAACGTGAACGTGATCAGAGCAGAACTGAAGCTAATAATATAACAGTTTACAATTAAAATGGGTTTATAAAGCTGATGTATTCAATGTTATTTGAACTGGTTAGCAGATATGAGCTTGTGGAGCATATATTGATTGATTTCTGATGCCTTTATTGTCAATGTACGGAGCACAATGAAATTACATTTAAGAACACCCATTCAAGAGACACACATGACGAAAAAATGGGGKAACAGGTGATCAGGTCATGCAGCAACCAGCAGGGGTCGTGCTACCTTAAAAAACACAGAAGGTTAGATGAGGGGAAAAAACATCGTATTATATCAACAAAAGGTGACACACTACGGTGTTTATCMAAAAACCTCTACAAGCAAGAGCACATTTATTAGCCAGAGGAGTAGTGAGTTTGGTGGGGTGTATCTGAAGCCATGAATGTTGTATGCACCTGTGTGAATATCTGAAAAATGTGTCCAAAATATCCAGTCCCCAAAAGGTAGACCCCATAGTTCAGCCAAAGTTCAGAATACTGGTGTTAATTGTTCATTCTGGACAGCTTCAGGTTGTCCTTCAAGGGATCAGATTAGACGGGAATGAGGGGGGGGCACGTCGACGTAAACACCAGGAAAAATTTAGTTCCTCAACATTTTCATTTCCTCAACATTTTCCTCAACATGCAACTACCAAATTTAAATTAAAATGTAAAACGTAAATTTTAGCAGCACATCTGTAGAAGTTTACTCTGCTTCAGTCTTAAACTGTTAAAAAAATGACTAATAGTAATAAAGTGCAGTAAATTTCAGTTCAAACTTAAATGGAACAACTAAAACAAAATCTCAGAAGAACCACAGTGAAAAATAAAATGCTTTTACAACAAACTTCCTTCCATATTCTGCTTATGTCTTAGTTTGTTCTACAAGAAAGAAAAAACAGCATTGAAGTTACTGCAACAACTGCTGCATAGTGCTGTTTATGAAGGCTACTGCTAGCAGCAGCAAACTCTTTGAATTCTTTGTCATGTCTTGTCCTCAAATGTTGAATCAAATTGCTGCTGTTAAAACATCCAACTTTCACTCCTCCTCTTGACAGTTAGCAGAGCACAGCAGACAGTCTGCTTGTTTGGTGTCCTCCGTGCTGCTCTTAAATATCTCCAAACTGCCGATATGTTACTTCTTCTTCTTCTTTTCTTCTCATCGTTCTTCTTCTGTTATTCGGGGGTGCGGTCGGAAATAACTTGTCAGTGCRTTAGCGCCCCCGCCTGGTATGGATTGTTGTTTACCCTTTGTGCAGCGAAGCACAGGAGGGGACAAAAGCGGTATCGGTTAAGAGTATCGGCCGGCTTTTACGAGTACGAGTACTTGATGCTGGTATCGGATCCGATACCGATACTGGTATCGGTATCGGGACACCTCTAAACGTAGAGAAGGCTCCCAAGCAGAAAAGCAGGGAAGATAAGAGAGAGCAGGAGAGAGGCAAAAAGCGTCTTACTCCTCCGAGAGCAGGAACAAAAAAATAAAATAAATAAAATAAAAAAAATATACAGAGTGTATCTCTGCTGAATCATGCTACAATTTAACACAAATTATTAAATATTACAAACTGATTTCTCCTCTGATATAGGTAATATTTACACAGTGTAATATAATACTTTATATTTGATTGTTTTTAGGTTTCTGCTGCAGAAGCAACAGGGCCAGGAGAGAAACCCAGACATCCCTCTCCTCAGCAACACTTTCCAGCTCGTCCTGGGGGACCCCGAGGAGTTCCCAGACCAGAGAGGATACATAATCCATCCAGTGAGACCTGGGTCTTCCCCGGGGCCTCCTACCAGTGGAACGTGCCTGGAACACCTCTAAAGGGAGGCGTCCAGGAGGCATCCTAATCAGATGAACCACCTCAACTGACTCTTTTYGATGTGGATGAGCAGTGGCTCTACTCATAATCCTTCTCCAAGTCTACAAAACACATGCAGACCATTGAGGCAGACTCCCATGACCCCCTTAGCAACTCTGTAAGGGTAAAGATGTAGTTCACTGTTCCACGTCCAGGATGAAAGCCACACTGCTCCTCCTGAATCTGAGGTTYGACAATTGAACAAAGCCTCCCTTCCAACACCCTGGAGTAAACTTTCCTGGGGAGGGTGAGAAGGGAAAACCACCACCCCAGTCTGCCACTCCACAGGAGTTGTCCCAGTCCTCCATGTGATGTTGAAGAGATGTGTCAACCATGACAACCTCACAACATCCAGAGCCTTCAGCATCTCAAGGTGAATCTCATTCACCCCTGGCGCCTGGCCACCAAGGAGCTTTTTGACCACCTTGGTGACCTCTGCCATGGTAATGGACTCATCTTCCCCCAAGTCTTGAGACTCTGCCTCCTCAAAGATGGACTTGGAGGGTGGATTAAGGAGATCCTCAAAGTGTTTCTTCCACTGCCCAATAATATCCTCAGTCCTGGTCATCAGTTCCCCACCCAAGCCAAGTACAGCCTGGGACAGGGAACACTTTCCTTTCCCTGAATGGTTTGCCAGAGCCTCCTTGAGGTCAATTGAAAGCCCTTCTCCATGGCATCTCCGAGTTCCTCCCACGCAAGAGGTTTTGCATCTGCAACTACCGAAGCTGCGACACTGTCAGCTGCTTCAGGAGTCCTCTGAGAAAGCCAAGTCCTGATGGCCTCCATCACCGCCGGTGTCCACTAGTGGGTCGTTTGGTTGCCTTGTTGAGTGGTAAAATGTCTTAGATTCAAACATGTTTAGGATTTTTATGCTTCAGTTTGCATTTACTCGTGAATTTTTGGTTGTTTTAGTAATTGTGTTTTAAACTTTAATCTAAACTGAGGCAACACAAGCATGAACAGTAGCTCTGCACATGGATACTGCTGCTACCTGTCTGTTGACCAGGAGCTGACCCAGGAAGCCCTGCCCACCTTGTTTGCAGAATGAGGCAAAAAGGCATATGGTAAAGTAAAACAGGAGACAGAGAAGTGTAAAAACAACACATGGAAATAAAAAGACTTGTGGGAAAAATATTTAAAAAATTAAACATAAGAGACATAAATGCAAGTACAAGTAAAATGAAAAACAAAATAAATATATTTTTCTAATAACGGTAAAATTTAAATTATGTGGTAAAATATATTTATTTTCCCAGAAAAGGGTGGATTGCTCTCTYCGGGTTGTGGGTGAAGTTCTGCCTCACGTGGAGGAGTTCAAGAATCTTGGGGTCTTGTTCACAGTTGAGGGAAGAATGGAGCGTGAGATTGATAGACGGATCGGTTCAGCTTCTGCAGTTTCACAGACTCTGTACCGGTCTGTTGAGGGAGCTGAGCTGTAAGGTGAAGCTCTCTGTTTATCAATCAGGCTACGTTCCTACCCTCATCTATGGTCACGAGCTTTGGGTAGAGACCGAAAGAACGAGATCGCAGATACAAGCGCCTGGAATATTTTCTCTGCAGAGTGTCTAGACTCTCCCTTAGAGATAGGGTGAGAAGCTCAGTCATCCAGGAGAGACTCAGAGTAGAGCTGCTGCTCCTCCACATCGAAAGGAGCCAGTTGAGGTGGTTTGGGCATCTGGTAAGGATGCCTCCTGGACGCCTCCCTAGGGAGGTGCTTCAAGCATGTCACACTTGGAGGAGACCCTGAGGAAGACCCAGGACACGCTAGAGGGACTATGTCTCTCGGCTGGCCTGGGAACACTTGGAGTCCTCCCAGAAGAGCTGGAAGAGGTGGCTGGGGCCTGGGCTTCCCTGCTCAAGCTGCTGCCCCTGAAACCCGATTTCGGATAAAACGGAAGATAATGGATGGATGGATGGATGGATGGATGGATGGATGGATGGATGGATGGATGGATAGATGGATAATTTGTCATAACTAAGCTGGAAAAATTAACAATAAGGTCAATTAAATTATAAAACGAGGTAAAGTTCTCCTTTTTTAAATTAATTGGTGCATTTTAAGAAGGGATGTCCCGATCCGATTTTGATACCAGATATCAGTCCGACATCAGCCAAAAAACAAGTATTGGATTTTATCGGCCTGCATAAAAAATGTCCGATATAAGCGCTCCTATATTAGCAGTCTTTTCCAGCAGTCCACTGACTCCGCTCCAGCGTTTCTATCCAGCAACGCCTGGATCCAGCATGCAGAGCTCCCGTGATCACAACATGCTGCGCTAACAAAGTAGCAAGAATGTCAGTAGTACTTTCTATTTTCATCAGAAACAGAGTTGAAGCTAAGTGCAAAGATGTCACGCACGAGTTTTCTGTGGGAGCACAGAACTGTGACTGTTTTAAATTGGAGAGACGACCACTCTCCACCCTGGCAGCAGCTTTGCGGTTCGGCTCGGTTCGGTCTCAGTCCAAAAGTGTCTCCATGATTCCAACCGAGCAGAACTTCCTCTCACTCCGGTGGTTCTAGCGGGCAGAAGTGAGGACAGCACGCTTACGGTTTTGACATCAGCAGAATGCTGCCCATGGATTAGCTCTGGGATTGATGGACAGAAGAAAGGAGAGCGCAGATTTTGTTTTGGAATACGAGCGACATGAGGAGAGCAGTGATAAAAGGAGCCAGAGGCTAATCTCCACATGATGCTCAGACTGGAGAAAGTATCAATAATTGACTGACTGATTCTTACTATTTATTTTTGCTCCTGTTTGTAGAGCGATGTTTAATCTGTTTACACACTTGTTTTAGTTAAATATTAAGTGCAATGATCACGTAGTTTTGGGCACAGTCACTAAAATTAGCTGTGGACTCCTAACTTTGAATAGACAATAATGTGGGGTTTTGTTTTGTTCCCACCTTCAGTTATTCCCACCATAAAGCAGCACCAGGCTGACAGATGGTAAAAAAATAACTGTAGTGATTTTGGATAGCTATTTTACACTTTAAAAGTACATTGTGTTTTTATTATGTTTCATTTTCAGGGTACTGTATTTTGTTTTACTGTATTTATTAAATTGTAGAATGTTCTTCAGTTTAAAATGTATGTGATCCATTGGTTAAAAATAAATGGGTCAGTTTTTCTCATACCTCCTCTTTTTCACTGTTTGACCTGATCAAGACTTTTCTAAGATTTCACACTACAAAAACAGGTAAAAGTGTGTGATTTGTACTAATATGGTATCGGTCAAGATCAGTATCGGCCAATTCTCAAAGTTGCAATATCGGTATCAAATCAGAAGTGAAAAAGTTGTATCTGGACACCCCTAATTTTAAGTGTATGTATTAATTTATTTATTGGTCCATTTACAGTATATAAGTACAGTCCATTTACCATTTACCATTTTTATATATTTCTGCGTTTATTTCTAAGTATGTCAGTTTCAGTCTTCCATTTATGAATGGGTGAATGATTGATGTGTGAAGCACTTTGACGTCTCAGGGACTTGATAAGTTCAAGCTATTTACCATTTCTATCTCAAGAAGTTGACTTGCAGCTGGAAGCCTTACTTTTTGAAAAATGAGCATATTTTAAACATTTTCATCTTCAGCTCAGTTTGCCTGTTTGGTAAATATGGGATGTGTCATTTAAATGTTTGACACGGAAGATGTCTGAAGATAAAACTCTTCTTGAATACTGTGTAGCAGAAGTCTGAGACAGTGAGTGTGTGTAAACAGTTTATGGGTGTGTATTTCTGCACAGTGGCAGCACTCTTTCTGTAAACTGTGRCCTGATATTATCTTAAGTTCCTCCCTGTGATCCTCAAACAGTGGTCCTTATCACATCCTGCGTTTCTGCTGGACTTGATTATTTCCTGGCAGAACCAAGAGCAGCATGGATCCTCTGGGGTCTTTGTCCTAAATTAACTTACAGCTTTCAAAAATCAAAGCTTTTCAAAAAGCCAGATTCTAAGTCCATGCCTCAAAATGTGGAGCARRCCCTGAGGTTGGGGCAAGATTTACAATTATTATACCAAAGACTAGTTCTGTTAAAGACTTAGCTATCCTTGAATGTGTGTGTGAATGGGTGAATGATTGTAGTGTAAAGCATCGTGGGGTTTGATAAAGCTCTGTATAAGTTCAGTCCATGTTCCATGTGAAGGAATGTGGGGAAATAATGGAGCTGCTTTGTTCAATCCTGCAAAAATAACTTTATGATCAATCTCATACTGTGAGTTTCTTTAACATCAGCTAATGCTACAAACAAACACACACACACACACACACACACTGGCAAAAACATTTTACAAACTTGTTTTACACTAATAATGATTTATCTTCTGAGTTGGAACAATCTGTCAGCAGCTGATGTTTACCTTGTTTGTCGAAGTTGATGATGCTGCAGTTACTTTGGCTCCAGGGACACAAGTAGACCGCTCCTCCTTCTGTGACGTTCAGCTGGCTGGTGTTGGATTTAGGAGCACCGATCAAAATACTGATACTACAGAGCAGAAAAATAAACAAAATTACTAGTTGTAAAGAATCAAAGGAGGGAATCTGCAGCTGTGAAGTCTCAGTTTAAAAGTGTTGGTGAATATGTGGAGTAAATTTTAGATTTAGTAACAAATTTTCCACATAAATGTCTCGAACCACTAATAAAAACAAMCCGTCAAGCAGTTTTTTCTGTCATGCCACACAGGCTGTTATCGCCATGATGATAAATCTGTGATATATTGTGCAGCCCTATATTGTGTATATATTGTGTGGGTTTTTTACTATTGTAGAGGGTAACAACACAATAATCATGTCAGTATCTGACATATTTAGTGTGAATACATGAACGATGACTCACACCATCCTTCCAACAAAAGCACTAACAGCAGCTGTGCATCACACAGGACACACGTGGAGACAAGTCAGAAAATCTAATTACTGCCTACATGTCCACACATCAGAGAAACAAWTCCAACCCAGTCAGTGATGTCCCAGCTAACTCTGCTGATGCTGCCTGTTCTGAACATCTTAGAAACATGGCATTTCTTTTTTTTACAAACAGGAAGTGCTTTGGTTTTAGCAGTCCAGTCCAGTCCAGTCCAGCATTGCAAAGCTATGAAACCTGCTGTTACTGAAATTAAAGGCCTATTTATTAGAGGTGCAACAATACATGTATTTGTTTGTAATAATTCAATTCAGTGATTTCAGTTCAATACATAAGGTGATGATTCTTCTCTGATGAATCATCACCTTATCGTAGTGGAGGAGTTTGTGTGCCTGAATGATGAGCTATGCTGTCAGGGGCAATTAACTCGGTGTCCCTTGCCCAGACGTGGGTTACCAGGGCCCCACCCTGAAGCCAGGCCTGTGGGAGGGGCTTGTCAGTGAGCTCCTCAAGTAGGGGTCTCTGCGGACGAGTGGGCGTGTCCCAACGAAAGGCGATTCTAAAGCGACACACCTGATTTGACGGACTTTGTTAAAGGGACACACCTGATTTGACGGACTTTGTTAAAGGGACACACCTGATTTGACGGACTTTGTTAAAGGGACACACCTGACTGGACAAGCAAAAAAGGGGCAATGCCGTATGGCACCACTTCAATGGACAAGAACAAAACGGGCGTTACTGTACGGCGCCACTTTTTCTGGAGAACCCTACTTGGGTCACATTTGCCCTGGTTAACCGTTATGTTGGGGTCAGGGTCAGGCTGTAAAGAGATCAAGCAGGGTCTAAGGATACCGTCATGTAGGCCTCGTAGCCCACAGTGTTTATGCTTTTGACATGCCCACTCTTGTGACACACCCACTTTGATTCTGCAGATAACCCCTTCTCGAGCGCCTGGTGGCCAAGTCTCTACCCATGGGATCTGTCCAGGCTCAGCCAGGACAGAGTTTACGTGGACTTACATGGACAGAATTTCTCGGTGCAGCCAGGGGGCGGAGGGAGTCTGGTTTGGAAAAAGGGTGGATTGCTCTCTCCAGGTTGGGGGTGAAGTTCTGCCTCAAGTGGAGGAGTTCAAGTGTATTGGGGTTTTGTTCACAGTGAGGGAAGAATGGAGTGTGAGATTGAGAGATGGATCAGAGCAACATGTAGAGTTTTGTGGACTCTGTATTGGTCTGTTGTAGTTCAGAGGGAGCTGAGCTGTAAGGCAAAGCTCTCTGTTTACCGATAAGTAGGGGTGTCCCGATCCGATATCGATATCGGATATCGGTCCGATATCAGCCAAAAAACGAGTATCGGATTTTATCGGACTGCATAAAAAATGTCCGATATCAGCGCTCCGATATTAGCAGTCCGTTCCAGCAGNACACACACACACACACACACACACTGGCAAAAACATTTTACAAACTTGTTTTACACTAATAATGATTTATCTTCTGAGTTGGAACAATCTGTCAGCAGCTGATGTTTACCTTGTTTGTCGAAGTTGATGATGCTGCAGTTACTTTGGCTCCAGGGACACAAGTAGACCGCTCCTCCTTCTGTGACGTTCAGCTGGCTGGTGTTGGATTTAGGAGCACCGATCAAAATACTGATACTACAGAGCAGAAAAATAAACAAAATTACTAGTTGTAAAGAATCAAAGGAGGGAATCTGCAGCTGTGAAGTCTCAGTTTAAAAGTGTTGGTGAATATGTGGAGTAAATTTTAGATTTAGTAACAAATTTTCCACATAAATGTCTCGAACCACTAATAAAAACAAMCCGTCAAGCAGTTTTTTCTGTCATGCCACACAGGCTGTTATCGCCATGATGATAAATCTGTGATATATTGTGCAGCCCTATATTGTGTATATATTGTGTGGGTTTTTTACTATTGTAGAGGGTAACAACACAATAATCATGTCAGTATCTGACATATTTAGTGTGAATACATGAACGATGACTCACACCATCCTTCCAACAAAAGCACTAACAGCAGCTGTGCATCACACAGGACACACGTGGAGACAAGTCAGAAAATCTAATTACTGCCTACATGTCCACACATCAGAGAAACAAATCCAACCCAGTCAGTGATGTCCCAGCTAACTCTGCTGATGCTGCCTGTTCTGAACATCTTAGAAACATGGCATTTCTTTTTTTTACAAACAGGAAGTGCTTTGGTTTTAGCAGTCCAGTCCAGTCCAGTCCAGCATTGCAAAGCTATGAAACCTGCTGTTACTGAAATTAAAGGCCTATTTATTAGAGGTGCAACAATACATGTATTTGTTTGTAATAATTCAATTCAGTGATTTCAGTTCAATACATAAGGTGATGATTCTTCTCTGATGAATCATCACCTTATCGTAGTGGAGGAGTTTGTGTGCCTGAATGATGAGCTATGCTGTCAGGGGCATTTTGATGCAACACTTTTCTTTTGTATTTTTTTCTTAAATTTCGCAACAAGCATTTAGTATGAGAGCACTGCAGCTGCCAACTTTCCAAAAGTGGAATAAGGAAGACCAAGTGGACAGGGTGGAGCAGAGAGGGGACTCATTTCAGACTGATGTCATCAAGTAAACACATTAGCAGACAAACATGCACAGGCTCGTGTTAGAAGAGCTGAAATATAACATGAATCTGTCCATGTTGGTACATTTAACTTTTAGCTAGTCTTATACAGAATCAATTCCTTTCTTGTTTCTTTTAACTTTAACAAGTCGGCTTCAGCAGTCATTCAGCTGTGTTCACACTGAAACTTCACCAAAATCTAATCCTCAAGTTTGTTAAAAAYATTCTGACAATTTTAAATAAAAAGTCATCCAGTTTAGAAGACAAACATAGCTCTTAAGCTCCAAGGGTTTTCTTGAAGTTTGTGCTGTGTCTGATGGACATAGAAATGGTTTTTATGAGTTTTTAGCCAAGATTCTGGCTTTTCTATAAATATCACACATGTCAAAAAGAAAAAAGTTGTATAGGTCCTCTGGACGGGTTCTTCTCTAATGAAACGTTTCGTCTCTCCTCCAAGAGACTTCTTCAGTCTGAGAGTTTCAGGCAAAATGCAGGCTTTTTAAGCACTGCTTCCATGTGACTGATACTCACATCACATGGCTATCATTGACACCTAACTAACACCTATTGTCCCATCCAGAAGACCTATACAATTTTTTTCTTTTTGATTTTTTACGTGGATTACTGAGATGCATCAGGACATCACACATGTCTATGTTTAACTAAGAGAAGTGGTATTAATGGAGGTAGAAAAAAAAGCTATAATTGTGCTCCTGCCAGSGAGGCACATCATTCTTCTAACATCCGCTAGTTGACCATCCTTCCCCGCAGAAAACATGATTCTTCAGCTCTGATTGGACAAACTCACATTTTCACCTACCAAAGATTATTGGTATSCTTGTTTGTCTTTGTGTCTATGGTGAAATAATAATGATGTGATTGTGATGCTGATGTGATTGTGTTTTATGTGCTGCAGAACAGGAACCTGCTGTAAAACAGCAATTATGCTGAGTCAGGCTTGATTTTTAGTAATCTTTTCCTGTTAAATCAATAAATCAAATCAAATCAATTATGTTCCCTGGTGGGATAATAAATGAAAACTTGCATCATCTTAGAGCTATAAATTAAACTCAGTACAGGTACTAATAAATGCTAATATTTTTAGAAAATTTTAAAAACTTAAACATCTTCAGTTTAGACCAAAGTTAAGAGCTGGACATTCATCTGTTATTTTTTTACCACTTTTTCCTGTCCAGGTCAAGGGGGGTCTGGTGCACATTTTCAGCAGTGTGCAAGGGAACACCCTGGACAGGTCTCCAGTCCATTGTCTCAAATATTATTGCAATAAATGATAATATTGTTTGGAGACTAAATTAAGCTAATATAATTATATCACCGACACCCTGGATGAACCTTACAGAAGCTTACAAAATTAATGTGTATTAAAAAAAGTTAGGATTTGACCTGGACAGGAGATTGTGACAACGGTTGCTGAAAGCTGGGTGATTTATTATTTGTGTCTACCACTGGCTTCATAAAATAACCGCTGTCAAACTCGCGCCACTTACCAAGTTTACCAAATTTATGTCATGTAAAAAAAAAACTTTTGGCAACCTGATGCCCAGCTGGGTGCCCTGAGGGGGTCCTGAGACATGGCCAGCTAAAAGAAAACAGCTAAAAATCGAAGTAGACTGATCATGTTTTTAAATCCTTCCTCTTCACATTTAAATCATTCAGCTGGGTCTTCATGAAGTGGAACTACAATGCTTTGGTTTGAACTCCTTATTCTCACTTTACCAGCCCCTCTTTTACCACTTTTCTGCTGTGGCTCAAAGCAGCTCGTTTTGATACTGTTCCTTTAAGATGCTTCAAGCCCCGCCCCCTCTGGCTTCCAGACTGGTCCACTCTAGTTTTGTTTTCTAGGCATGCAGAAACATTTTATTTAAAAATGATTTAAAAATAAGCAGCACGGTGGCTCAGTTGGTAGAGCTGATGCCTCTCAGCAAGAAGGTCACTGGATCAAATCCCGGCCCGGGTATTTTTCTGAGTAGAGTTTGTATGTTCTCTCCGTGCATGCGTGGGTTTTCTCCAAGTACTCTGGCTTCCTCCCACAGACCAAAAACATGACTGTTAGGTTAATTGATAACTCTAAATTGACCCTAGGTGTGAGTGAGAGAGTGAATGGTTGTTTGTCTCTTTGTGTCCCTGTGATGGACTGCAGACCTGTCCTGGTGTCCCCTGTCCCTCACACAGTGACTGCTGGATATGGGCACTAGTGACCCTGAAAAGAAGAAGCAGGTATAGAGAATGGATGGATGGATTAAAAGATGTCAACAACAGAAGACTTGTCCATCCAGCCTTACATACTGGAGCCAGAGGAGAACTAAGAGGAGGAAATTGTAGTTGGTAAGTCCAGACTTTATTTGGTAGTTCCATCACAGATAATCTGACGTAATAGTTCAGAAAACATCATAGAAAAATAGAGAAAACTGAACGGGATGAAAAATCTGACCCAAACWGAAGATAGAGATCTCTGCAGCACCAGAGGAGACTGAATTCAGCTCTTCTTTCTCCTACAGACTCCAAGTTYACAACAAAATGTACAGAACAGCTCAAAAAGTGGATTTTGCAGGMTATGRCCCCTTTAATTCAAAATAGTTTGTGTTGGCATAGTGTAAACATGTTTCTAATCCAACTTTATTTGTAAAGCATTTTAAATATTACCACAGATCCAAAGTGCTGTGCACAGCAGACAAACTAGAACATAAGAAAAAAAGACTAAAATCTGATAAAAAAAAAAAAAAAAACAACCACTCCAGTGGTGTAAAACACCAAACTCAGGCCTGTCTAACATGAAGAGGAAACTCGTAGATTTTAAGAGCTGCTGCAGGAAAAGTTTGATCACCTCTGAGTTTGTGCTTCAGCTCAGGAACACTCAGAAGTGTGTGGTCAGCTGATCTGTGGGAACAGTGGTTTTTATCTCCAAACAGTCCACCTACTGAAACTGAACCTCTCTGCAGCAGTTCTGCAGATCAGCAGGTCTGTCAGCACCAACATGGTACTTGCACTGAAGAAAACCTGAACAGATGTATAATTATTTCCCACAAGCCTTTGAATGTGGAGACACCGCCTTCCCACACTTTCTGCACGTCCCAGAGGCTGAGGAGCTGTAGAGGAGCCGGTCTGGGAACCAGCAGCAGCAGCAGCTCTTCACAATGAGCCCACTGTCAGGATGCAGCATGTGCTCAGAAAGCATGGTTCTGCTGCTGCGTCTGCTCGCCACAGAACAACAGCTGGCCTCACAGGAACATGTTCAACAGYAATCTGCTAAAACTCATGAACCTGACTGCAGACAAAGTGTGCCATTATTCAGTCTGACCACTGTGGCAGAAAGAAACTGCATTTCAACACACGGCTTTAAATCAACATGGAATTGATCTACGGCAGTGCTTCCCAAACTTTTTGTCTTCTGACCCACAAAATATTCATGGCAAAAACTTGTGACCCCAAATATTACTGGTCTGAGTACAC